GAAAGAAAGAAAGAAAGAAAGAAAGAAAGAAAGAAAGAAAGAAAGAAGGAAGGAAGGAAAGAAGGAAAGAAGTAAAGAAGGAAGGAAAAGGAAAAAGGATTAGGCTTCATGAGCATTTTCCATGGAAACATAGTTAAAGTCATAAAATGACAATTTAAAAATCTCTAGCCATGAAAATGATTCCTGAAATGAGGTTTCTATCTATAGCAGATTCATGTCACTTGGTTTTGACCCCTTCAGGGAGGCCTTTAAAACATGATTGCAGATAACACTGAGGAAATACAGAATGGGCTGGCAGGATGGTTCAGCACTCAGAGCTACTTGTTCCCAAACCTGGAATACCAAAGTTCGGTCTCCAGAACTCACATGATCGAAGAAGAGAACTGATTACTCAAGTTGTCTGCTGACCTCTTAACATGTACCATGGAACATTTGCCCCCATCACAAAAACACATATGAGAGAGAGAGAGAGAGAAAGAGTCAATAGTACCATGGATCCATATAACACCAAAATAAGAATGAAATTAATCAGATTCACAAGTATCTTATTAATGGTGTACAAATGAATTATTTACATGAGTAATTTCCAAGCTTGTTTAAATAGAGTAGTTTTTACAGCAGCCCCTTCTTTAAGATTTATTTTTATTTTTTATGTATGCATAGAGTGTGTCTGCATTCATGTATGCCATGTGTGTCCTGGTGTCCTAAGAGTCAGAAAAGGGATTCTGGCTCCCCTGAAGTTGGAGTTACAGTTGGCTGTGAGGTTTCATGTGGGAGCTGGGAACCAAACTAGAGTCCTCTGGAACAGCAGTGTCTTGGTTAGTTTTCTATTACTGTAATAAGAACCATGTGTGACCTTAGGCAATGTAAGCAATACCATGACTGAGACAGAGTTAGAGTCCATGACCATCATGGCAGAGAGCATGACAATAGGCTGGAAGGCATGGTGCTGGAGCAGTAGCTAGGAGCTCACATATTGAACTGCAAGTATGAGGCAGGGAAAAAGACATACTGGGAATGAAAATCTTTTGAAACCTCAAAGCCAACCCAGGTGACACAATGCCTCCAACAAGACCACCTCATAATTTTCCCCAAATCCCAGGAAGCAACTGGGAAACATGTTTTCAAGTATAGGAGCCTATAGGGAGCCTTCTCACTTAAGCCATCACAGACAGCAAGGGCCCTTAACCACTGAGCCATCTCTCCTGCCAGTGCAACAATCTTAAAATAAAGATGGAAGAAAATCAGCTCATTTTTGGACTCTATAAGGAACCGCATTGCTAGCATGTAATGCGTCCACAGTTGAAGCATGGTTGCAAGATTAGCAAGCGTCTACCATCAGTTCAGATGTTAGGAATGAATAATCTGAGATATGACCTCACACTTACTGAATTGGCATCTTCTGGTTCTCTTACGTGAAATTCATAACTACATTAAAACTCAAGCAACAGTTTTAATCCATAGTATTAAGAAAGGATATAGCCCTTAACACATTTGAAAAAGTCAGTAAATCTATAAGCATGCCACTGGAAGAAGATACATCCTCCATTCTTTCACAGCAGGTAATTAGGTCAGCTTTTAAATTTAAAGGAAAACAATGTTTTAAAAGGGTAGTCTTAAATGAATTTCCGATATATTTTGTGCAACTTCTAAAATATATACTACTTTCATTATGTATTGGAGAATTTTATGTAATACAAGATCATCTTTATCTTCCCCTCTAGCTCCTCCCAAGTCCACCACCCATAATATCCACCCTTCTCAACTTTATCCCCCCTCCTTTTTTTAATAATCCACTAGGTCCAACGTGTACTGATTTACTCCTTCCCCTAGGTATGGGAATACCCACAGAAATCTAAGCAATCTACCAGGGGAAACAGCCTGTCAAATGTTAATGACTTCTCAGGTAGGGACCCCCTCCTCACACCATGTTCGAGTTTTGGCTGGCTTGCTCTTTTGTAGGTCTTGTGCTTGTACTGAGAGTTCGTGGGTGAAGCAGACTTGTCCAGAAAACACGGTTTCACTTGGTCCTCCCTCTGGTCCTTATCACCTTTCCTCTTGCTCTTGCTCAGTGGTTTCTGAGGTTTGAAGTGGGGGCTGGTTTAGATGTTCCATATGTGGCTAAGCACTCCACTGACACTTTCTGCACAACATTTTTTTTTGGCAAAACCACTGAATTTCCTAAGTAGTAATACTCCAGGTAGCCATAAGACTTGTCATTATTAAATCTGGTCACGCACACAACATGTGTTCTCTGCTAAATAACAACAACAACAATAATAATGTCCAAATGCTGTATCTACATTCTCCTCAAACATTAACAACTCAGTAGTTCATAACATTACCAATTAGTTTGTAGGGAATTTACAGGTGCTTGCCAAGAGTAGCTTCTGGGAATAGTGTCAAAATATCATCACAGTTAAGGAATATTAAAACTGAGTGTGGAGAAACCGCTCAAGGAGGGATGAGGAGAGACGTGTCTGTTGCTCTGATGTGCTTTGCAATGCTTCCGTCGGGGTCTGTGTTCAACACGTTCTAGAAAACCTGCATCGCATCTGCCTAACGGTTTCGTTACTGGTTGTTAGGACGCTTCTGGCAGGAACCAGGTCAGCCTCGGCGTTTCAGCACTGCGGACAGCTCCAAGGCGTCAGCGGAAAGGGGTGGGGTATGGTGTTATGTGGAAAGGGGGCGTGGGGAGTGGAAACGAGCACCAACTGACTCATCAGCCCTCGGTTAAAGCAGTACACCTTCCACTCCGTTTTCCCTTTGTCTGATCAAAGGAAACATAAAAACGTAGCGCCTTCTAACAACCCGAGACTGCCGCTTCCACTCACAGCGAAACGCCTTCGGCACAGCTGGGGACGCAGCAGAGGAAAGGATTTTCGCCATGAATTAATTAAATCCTCAGCCACCCTAGGAAGCACCCACAGCGAAGGGCCCCTGATTGCTAAGCTCCGGGGTGCGATGTGAGTGAGAATGAGCCCTTGTCTCTGCTCGTTCTACCTGGAGAGCAGCCCCTGTTGCTGCTGCTGTTAGAGTCCCTTCCCCAGCTCACGTTCCCCCCCCCCCCCCCTTTGCTCGCACTTCTACGTGCTCGCAAACATTTACACATCGCCACATCGGAGATGCACACATGCACACCCATTTTCCTGCAAACACTCGGCGCGCACGTCCTTCCGCGGCCGCCCGTGTCCTGTCTCTCACCCGGACACAGGCATTTACACACGTAGGCCAGGAAAGCGCTACCCACGGTCCTGTGACTCCACGCACGTCCTCAGAACACACCGTTTACACTGAACCGATCGGCGACCACAGACAAACCTACCAACAAGTCTACTGGCTGGAATTCATCTCCATGGCAACAAACATGGAAGGTGAGGCCATCCATCCCCGCTGCCTGCTAAGTAACTTTCTCCCCCTTCCTCAGCATTCACGAACAGGGTTCCAGGCGCCAGTCCCTAGGAGAAGGTGTCCTTATTCTCTTGAATTTCAGAAGCAAAGAGAGCCGAGTGGGGGAGGGGGCAGGGAGAATTTGTAGGTTGGGTGAGCTCAAATTCTGAAAAGGGAAAAAAAAAAAAAAAAAAAAAAAAAAAAAAAAAAAAAAA